TCCTGTCCAGCCTCTCCTGGGTATCTCTCCATGGGTCTGAACTTTTTTTGTTTTTTTTGGTTTTGGCTGGTCTGCCCGTCTGCCCGAAAGTAAACAGAAAATAATTCTTATTCATTTCTGAGTAACCACTAGTTCAATTCTAATTTAATTCATTAGTTTTTGACTTAAATACAACTTAAGTACATTCTAAGTCAATTCTTATTCTAATTGAAATTCACTTCTATTGCCATTTACATTCAAGTTTGAATCTCAGTGAACTTTAAATTGACTTTAACTTGAATATGTAAAACACTTCTACTTTAATTCTAAGTTGGGCCTACTTGAATTTTAATAAAATCTATGTATTTTAAAGTTCACTGCAATCATATTCTTCAATGTTTCTTCTAATTTATGTCTTTTATAATTCGAATTATGTTTGACTACCCTGGACCTAATATTAAATTCAAATTTGAGTGTACATGTGAATTTGCAACATGCATCTAATTTTTTAAGTTGAGCATAACTGAATTCTAATCCAATCTGAGTCTGCAATTTGAATTTAATTAACAACTGTTTCTCTGTCAATACTGTTTTACTAACCAAGCCCTAGGTTGAACGACTCTAATTCAATTCTACCTTGGGTCTAAGTCAGTTTCACTTCAAGTAATGGATTTTATTTGATGTTGTTCATTCAGGTCCAACTTAATTACAATCTATTTCTAGCTTAATTCTATGTCATTCTATACTGGGTTAAGTTGTAATTTCGCCTATTCCAACTTGTTTGTAAGTGATTTCTAATGTTAGTGCCCTTGTACAATTCAGATTCAATCGCTTTACACATCTAATTTTACACTCTTGTCATTGCACTTTAAATTTGATTTCTATGTGTCCATTTTAGGTCTAAGTTGATTTCATTCTAGAGAGTGGGTGTTGCTGGGGGTGTGAATTTATTTCATGTAAGAAAGCAAATGCTTCCATTTTGGACAAACTTTAAAAAAAATAGACTCAATTTAAACATATAATATTAGAATTGAATCTGAATTGTATAGCAAGGAAATGAAAGGTAGCTTGCATTGAATCCCACATAAATTAGAACCTATAGTCTATAGTGAAGGAAATTTGATCCAAAGTAAAATAGAAGATAATTGAAATAGAGTTAAACCTGAATTTAAACAGATTTGAATTAAGTAAGTTATTTAGGTTTTGTATTGATTTGCCTTCTGATTCTGATGTACTTACCCACTTGCATTCAATAAAAGCCATGGAGTTCACACTCTAAAGGCAAGAATTTTGGTTTTGCATGGGGGCTGCGTGGAATTACATTACCACATCCATTTTTTTTAGCAAACACCTAACCTTATGGGTTTAGTCATGTTTTGTAGTACATATTACCAACTGCACATGGAGCAAAACAATCACAAATTTCACCATCATATCAATGTGATATCATCACCAAAAAGAGCAAAAACTTACAAAAGAACAACTTTCACAACCCTATCAATGTCATATCATCTGCAAAAAAGAGAAAAACTTTACAAAATCACAACGTTCAAAACCCCCGCCCCCATGACTACCTGCTCTCTTAATTTTATTCCATCTTTATATTGTTCCTACGCTCTATTTTCTACTGTCTTGAATATAAATGAATCCCCTAAAATAGCGCACGCTCACAGTGGCCAGCTCTCAATTGTATAGATGTAGATAATGTGTAAATATTCACAGCATAACCATAACTGATATTAAACCTGAGAAGGGGGGGAGACGAAAGCCAGCCCCCGAGCAGAAAAGGCAGACGGGCGTTTTTTCGGCTGCTGCTGCTGCACATCGCTCTGGAAGGAGGAGGCCCGCAATGGAGTTCCTGCAAGCCGTTTCGAGAGCATTGGGGACGATATGTGAGTAGCCGGCAGTTGATCCGGGCGCTGCGGGGCGAAACCACTCCCCGGATTCTGCGCCTCGCCACCGCAGTGTGCAGCATACGCCGCTGGGAAGGTTTGTAGTATCTCCCTGCGTAGCTGGGGATGAGGAATGCGGCGTGGTGTCAGGATGAATGGTAGGTTACGCGTTGGTCCGCGTTCGATAGTGTCTCAACATATTTTGCAACAATGTAGAGGGTGATAGCCGCTAATGATCCAGAGAAGCCAAAATAAACCGCGAGCATAGATGTGGCACAACTGATACCAATGTGGCACGCAATGTCACATCATCCCAAAGCAGCACAGCACAAAAAGGTGAAAGAAAAAGGCAATAGAAAAAGTAATCAAAGCTGTTTCAGCAACACCTGCTTCAGGACCTGCGGCTTCTGGATGTCTGGCCTCACAAGCAAACTGGGCACTTAGCAGGGCAACTCGTCGTTGCTCAGCTTTTCTTCGGGCTCTCAGCTCAAGATGGCTAGGGTTGGAAAAGTTTACACCAACAAGTTTTTTAGACGAGCACCTTTTGACACAAGCATACACCCACATCTTTTTACAGCAAGAAACTTTCACCGCATACTTTCTAAACCAACATGTTTGGTACCAAGAAGTTTTTTCTACTAACATGTTTTTACGCTCAAACCAACTAGGTTTCACCCCAGCACTCTTTACGCCAGCAACCTCTGAATGTCCAAATTTATACAATACAGCCTACGGCTTGGCCCAAAGCACTTGGGCTATCCAGTCGCTCAGCAGTGATGAGGGGGGGCGGGACTAGAGGCTATGAAATATCATTTCTAGGGAGAACAATATCATCATGGAATTTCTACATTGCATGGTTAGGTGATGGCTGACTAGTAGACTGGTGCTTGCAAAGCTGGGTAGAAAACGAGAGCGTGTTTTAGATCGCCCACGCGTCGACCATTCATCAAGTTTCATGGCACGAGATGTTTCACGAGGATTAGATCATCGCCACCAGGTTGTACCATTGCCATGAGGTGGATATGGAAGTCAGTTCATGAACATGGAACAAATGCAAAGTGAGAATGGAAGTACGCGTTAGGGATTGTTCAGGCGTTCGGCATCTCTCTGCCTATGTACCTATCTATCTATTTGTCTATCTAGTTGTCTATGGATAGTTAAGGAGTTGACAAGGGCCCTGCTCTTGGCCGCCGCCTCCGTGGCTCTCTTGTAGCAATCCGACCGCTCCGTCTGCTTCTCTGAGTTGAACTCCAGAACATCCACATTCTCCTGTTGCCGGCTTCTTCTCTTGCTGCCAGCACCGGCAACAGATCTTGAGAAACTTCTTGAAGATCTCACCATCAACCCTGCTCTCTGAGCAAATGGGCCCCAAACGGACCCTGCGCCTGTGGCTATTGTACTTCCCGCATGACCCACACGCGATGTGATCAGGCCCCCCCTTCTCCTCCATATGCTATCACTGAGTAAGGCAACACAGCATCTATTTCCTTTCTGCCCAATAGCTCCAAAGCATACTTGTCAATGCTGGGCACTTGGCAAAGGGGCAGAATGATGGTCTTCCGGCGCAGGTGCAAAATGCAGACTCACCCACCGTTTTTTAAAAACAGAAACGTTCAACCCTTTTTTTGAAATATGTTTGTGTTTGCCCATGTGAAATCACTAAAAGCTTGGCTGAGACCCATCGAAATTATTTCTACACAAATGACTAGCGATTACACTATTCGCTTCTGCTCGTTTCTACCTGCCTGTTCTTTATATGGTTTCATTTCCTGGCAACCGCTACTGATGGCACCGCCCAGAACCATCCAGAAGCATCTTCTTTTCATCTTTCACGAGTAGACAACATAGTGAGTATTCCATGCCATTACCCAGCGATGCAAGCGATGCTATTGCACCAAAGCATCATGATGATGTACAGGGATCACTGAAGCTAGGAGCCGCATATAGGTCGGACGGGCGCATTCCACTTTCAGCACCCTTCTTTCTCAAGCAGCTACATGTTTGTAAAATTCACAGCATGGCCCAGCACCCTGCAATCTCAACCGCAACTAGACTTCTTAGGAACACCAAAGTCTGCGACGTAAAATGAGTCAGAGTCATTGAGTAGCTCAGTTGTGAATGGAGGATGTGCATATCCTGGTAGTCAAGGCGGCGCAAAACCACCCAGAATCAAAAATATCCGTGGCTGGACAATGTGATTCCAAAGACAAAGGCAAAAATCCAAAGTAGCGTCCTACCCACCGGGTAAACCTACCAAAAAAAAACATTCTTTGTCAACCACTCTCAAAGTGACGATCTTGTGAAGGCACTCTTCGCCACACACTCTTGATGAAAAACTCTGTTGAGAGACTCTTCGAACAACTCTTGGCAACACACGACTTGAATCAGCTGAAACCTGACCCCCTGATTTTTTCAAAAAAAAAGGGAGGTCAGGTTTAGTCCTCGGTCACTTTAAGCCAAAAACACTGTCTGTTTCAACATCTTTGAAAGAACAAAACAAGATAATTTACGTAGTTTGCTGCAGTTTGCGAACATGTTGTACTCTACCATTACGAACAGCCTTCGGCGCAAAACATTGCAAATGTTACTGTTTTTCCATCCACCATTCCAAAACACTTCAAAACATTCCCAGAGAATCAACCCAAAAGCCTCCTCCCAACCAGAAAACACAATGTTATCGCGCTCCCCATCCTCATTGACTAGCAGGTTCTGCATTTCATTCATATTCCAATAACACATTAAGAGTAGACAAAAAATAGAAGAAAGTGAACAAAACAATCACTTCTCCAGCCTACGCTGTTTCCAGCAGTCTGTCACTTTAAAGTCTTTGTCAGTATGCATCTGCACTTGAAACCTTCACTGGAAGCTTCCAAAACCTCACCAGGTATCTGCCATCGAACACTTTGAAAGCAACACTCTTGCCGACAAACTCCATCGCCACCATCTAGAACCTTGATATTTCCACGATGTTCTCTCTTTCCACGATTTTCTCTCATTTCGGACTGCTGCGTGACAGCTCGCACCGCACAGCACACCTCCAAATGTCTTACAAAATCAAGCCCGAACCGACCTTCCTAGGCCCAACAGAACTGACATTTTGACACAAACCTCGTCTTTTCCATGGTTTTCTTGACCGCTATCGTCAAAAACCTCCAAATTGCAACCGTTTCTTCATTTTCTACTGCGCCGTCACAGCTCGCACCACAACAAACACTGTAAATTACATGTTTCCCTTCGACTGCACAAAAAATACCTCCAAATTTCCTACAAAATCAGCGCCAAGCTGACCTTCCGCGGCCAAAAACCTTCAGCTTTTCCACATGTTCAGAAAAGCCTCGTAATTTCATGTAATTTCCTTGGTTTTCTTGACCGCCGCCTTCTGCGCCGTCACAGCTCGCACCGCAACAAAAACACTGTAAATTACAGTGGTTTTTTCTTTCCAGCCCAGGAAAATGACTCCGAAACACCTCTTTTCCACATCCCCAAAAACGAGACAAGTGGACCAACCCGTTTTTCCGCTCCCCCACCCTATTCCGGCCTCACCCTTCCAAACGATACCTATTCCGGACCCCCCCCCTACACCCCCCAGATTAGCTTCGCCATATACAGACCCTCCAGCCTAAGCCTTCGGCTGGCTTTCGTAATAATTATATGCATGTCATTACTTATGGAAGGGTTAGATTCTCATCGGTGTCTCACTTCGAGGACACAGGAATCCGTTCATTTAATACCTCTTTCCACACCAACTCCTGAAGCGAACCTTACAGCACCGGAGTCCTGGAACCATCTAGAACCCAGACTAGTACAAAGCTAAGCATACCGCAGACCAACCCGACCGTCGCACATCATCCAATCCACCGTTGGAGACACCGGAGCGGTCGGCGCGACTCGACTCGTCTCAACTCGCCCCGGGCGGTGCTCCTTGGGATGCCAACTAGTAACAAGAAGCTACTAGTAACAAGTGCATCGCTTCTAGTAACAAGTGCCTTACTAGTAGTAACAAGAAGCTATTAGAAACAATAAGTAGAATTTAATTAACCCGGGCGGTGCTCCTTGGGATGCCAGGCGCCGCTCTTGGGGGCGATGCCCAGCTGTAGCTCGCTCTTTCGCGTCAGGCGGATCTGGAGACGAGGCCGAGTGGGACTGGGAGGCGCCGGATCTGGAGACAGCAGGTGGAAGTAGGAATTCAAACTGGGATTCAGCGTGATTGAGTCATCCAACCGTTTGAGGAGGTACACTTCTAGACCATGAACAACCACTTTTGCCTAAGGCCTTCAAAGGGTTCTTTCTTCTTCATGACTGTTCAAGTTCATCTTCGGGGCGACGGATTTGCCGCCACGGACGAAGCGACGGTCGCCGCTGCACGGCCGCGGTTCATCGCTGTTCCGCCTCTTTACACCGAGGCGAGGCGGGCGACAGCTGCATCTCCTGGGGCGACCACGGGTGTGGCGCGGGAAAAAGCACGGCGTTGGGAGCTTTGGGGGGAACACTGGTTTGTTGTTGTTGTTGTTGTTGTTGTTGTTGTTCCCTGGGTCAAGTGAACAGGATGTCAATCATGTATGGAATTTTATGGATGTATTTTGATAGTTTGGTGGGAGGAGCCTTCAAGACTCCCAGCCCGACTGGGCGACCGTTTGACTGGTCACTCCTGTCCCGACACAACGACTGATGTCCATGGTCAGCTTGTCTTGCTCCACTTCTTGTGGAGCAAGATTCGAGCGGCAGAATTGCTTGGAGTTTGCCTTCAGCTCAAGCGACTTAGAGGCCGCTCCTGTTCGATCTCCACTGTCGCAGGAGGCTGGATAATCGCTCGCACCTGGATGGGCAGATTTACAGGGTGCACTCACTCTGCTCAGAAACATGCGGACACAAGGCAAAAGAGTCTTTGCACATTGACTTGTGGGAGGGGTGTGTGACTATTGGTCAGTCTTGATTCAAAAAATCTGACCAGCCAATACTAGGCCTGGGTGATCCTGGGTGGGTCCCAACGGATTTCTGGCTGATCTTCATGAGTGATGAGTGGAACCACCCCCCCCGCATCTCATCACTACTTCATCCCAAACGGGGTCCGCCCCCCCCCCCCCGGCGGGGCGTTCGGAGGGCTCCGCACCTGCCACGCTGGAAAGCTTTGAAAGGCCGTGCTGCCGTTGATGGCAGTGATGATCGCCCCTCGCCCGGAGGACGCCGTCGGATCCGTGACGAGCTCGGGCGAGGACGGGCCGCTCGGTGCTCCGAAACGGAGACGGCTCGGCGCATGGAGTTGGACATAGGGAACCTAGACTTGCAAGACCGTTTGAAGAAATAGTAGTTAGTAAAATCCTGTAAAACTCCTTAAGTTGGTTCGGAAAAGCCTCTTAAATGTATGGCAGTTGGAAGCCTAGGGATAAGAGAACCTCACATGGATCGCCTTTTTTATTTGGGCACATTGCTATCCATTTGTTGCGAAAGGGCGGTTGACCCATGTTTTGGCAAGCAAGTTGTAGCATGACTGTCGCTCTGCACAAGTCGACAAACATAGCACGTCATGTTTTTATTTTTTGTGGAACTGTTGTACGTCATCGTCTTAGCACAAATCTGATCCAGTCAAAAATTAGTCTTCCCATGTCAGAACAAGAAAAAATGATGAACTGGCCCGGCATGTTGGTCGCAAGCCTCAAAATAAGGGAAAATAAAAATGCCGCAATGCCCGATGTACTGAGATACACCCAAACCTGTTGGGCTGCGCTCATTTCCCTGTCCTGTGGGAGGTTGGTCTGACACATTTTGGGTAGCTCGGATGGTTCTGCCAGGCCCTGCCTGGCTTAACTCCAGCCTGTTCTGCTCGTCCCCCGGCAGCAATCATCTGCACCACCACAGGGGTGCCCTGAGGCCGAAAGCCAAGGAGGCGAAGGCGGGGGGCCTTCAACCTCCATCCACCTCCGTCCACCTCCGTCTCCCAACGCATCCAAAGTCCGACCCTCGCCCATGTGCCACCAGGGCTGGGCGCCCAAATGCGGGTGGGCCCCGGGCCGCCTGTTCGTCTCGTTTCGGCCCTTTTCGCGACCGCAGGTCCATCTCCCACCACGCCTGGCCGCCTCCCAAGGTTAGAAGGTCACTTCGAGGGTTGTCATCCTGGACAACAAGTGGCACGTCACGAGCAAGGGACAAAATTCATGGTCGCTTCTGGACAGGAGATGTCGGGATCGCATGGTGAGTTCCGTTCCGGTGCATGTATTTTCTGCTGGTTTGAGTTCAACTGTCAAGTCCAATTAATTGGTCCGTCCCTGCTAGGTGTGGAAGAGAGGCTTCTCAGAGATTAGATGCTTTGAAGGAAAGAAAGGATTGTGCTTGCTCCGGAAGCAATTCTTCCAACCATCTGTCATCTGTGGACGGCAGCATACCGTCCCAGGGAGACACCTGTCCTGGTGGTACTGCAAGCAGATCCGACGTTTGGGAGAAGCCGATGCCTGCCGCCACTGCAGCGGTGAACATGGTGAACACGGAAGCCCTTTTCAAGGAATCGGAATTCGTCTCTTCATCGAGATGGGTTATAATATTTACATAGTATACACGTACAAAGATGCCCCCTCTTACGAGATCTGAAAACCATTCAAAGCATCTCCAAACAGAAATGGATCGTAGAAATGGATACTGCAACCCAAGTCCGTCCCACCTTGGCAGCTGGAGCTGGACCTGGCGGTTTTTTCGCGAAAAATCCGCGCGACATCCGCGCGGCAGCTTGAGATTCCTGGAACCAAAGGAGTGCAACGATGATACATTCTTGAAGCAAGGAGACCTCAAGAGTGTCCTGTGTTTCTCGGACCAAACTCCAAAGCCTCCAGAAAGCTCCCTCTGCATGTTTGGGTCTGAACTCGATGACATGCTCCAAACGGACGCCGGGAAGGCTGGCCAACGGTGCCGCGCTGCGCGGCCTCCGGCGAAAGGACGGTAAATGTTCCATGTGCGTTTGCCTTAAGACACCGGTCATGTGCGTTTGAGCGCAGAAGTAGATGTTTGCCTAAGAAAACGTCTGGGACGGGATATCAGAGCGAAAAATCGCCATATAGAGCCACTGCATACTAGAGCCACAGTATATGCGGATGAGTATCCACTGAATATGATCATATTTAGAGCCACAGAAAATCACCAGGTGCTTGCGAGCTCGAAGCTGAGTCGTTGCCCAAGTTGAGGTTTTTGGCCACATTCATCCCCAAATTAAGATAAATTAAGTTCAAAATAAGTCAAGCACCTACAGTATCGTTCAGTTCCAAGAAAGATTGACTACCTCTTCAGCTTGATTGAACAAACACCAAAACAAACAGTTTCCGACTTTACGCCACCTTAGAGGGAATTCATTAGTCCAACCCCATCTACCAATTCTTGTTGCTTACCCAAGCATGATACCTGCTCTGTACCTGCGCTTGCGCATGGTTGAGGCTGGCAAATTGTCCACACTTCTTGGGATCTTCCTCTCCAAAATGCTCTGCTTTTGGGCGTTGAGCACAGCACACACTGCTCATCTGGGTCGCGACCTTGGACGCACACCGGGTGACGCCCGCGCCGACCGAACGTCACCGATGTCCCCCTGGTTCGTCGTGGACCAATCATCGTCTATTGAGACCGCACATCGGACATTACTAAGGACATCTAAGGACATTGTATGTTCCAGGCCATGGTCATGGTCAAAACCATGTGTGTTTCCAGTGTCATGGTAACTAGGACCTGTGTTGGCACATGCTACCGCTTGTTGCGCGCTTGGGCATTGGCATCTGGGAGAGGTCGATCCACCTCAGGGTGGTGTCACGTAGAATCAAGCTCCCTTGGCAGCACATCAAACAGTTCTGAGTATTTGTGAAGTATATCATCTCAACAATGTTTGGATGGTAGTGGGGACTGTCTTTTCATTGAGAACATCTCCACTCTCTCATTCGGAGATATTCAGAGTAATCATTCAAAAGTGTGGACCTCCTTGGTGAAGTAAGATTCGCACCGATTCTCAAGAGTAACGTGACTCCTTTAGGATCAGTTCATGCCATGAAAAACACCGATTGCTATACGGACCCTTCAGAACTTGTTTGTGAACTCAAGCGATCCCTGGATATCCCTGGTCATCCTGGTCCGTGACAAACAGAATCCCCACTGAGTGTCAGACCGCCTGGGATACCAGCCTGGCTTCATTCAAACGAATGCTTTGCTTCTCCAAGGGTAGAGAGAACCAAGGGTTGAAGCTCCTGTGTGATGGGTAGTGAATGAATATCAAAGGCAAAATCCTCGAAGATCCGAAACCAGCACGTCTTGTTCCACAAAACATATAAAAAATAAGGTTCATTGGAGTCTTGGAGTGTCTTGCTGAATGGCCACACCTCGATGGCCGCACTGGCAGTGAGATTGAACAAAATGTCTACATTGCTATCAGAAGCTATATTGCCAGACAATCATGGACAGTCTCCAATTGTCCAATTGCAATTGACATAAAAGTCAAAAGGTGTTCAAAGGTGAAGGAACTACTCTTTCCCATCCACACTGGACTCAACTAGTGTTCAGAAGTTCAGATCCTCTCCTCCGGGCTGAGATCAATCCGCAGGTGTCGAAGGCGCCCCTGCCTGGTGTGCTTGGGACTCACCTCTGTTGGCAGCCGCACATCCTGCCGTTCAGAGAAACCGCTGAAGGGCAGGGCGGCAGGGCGGCCCTCTCAAGGACAAAAGCAACACGTCATTCATAGTGTGCATTTAATAGGGAGACACCTAGCCATGGGTTTGGGTTAGTTTTGTGATTTCCCCTTTGGGAGGTCTCCCTATTTTTATGCACACCCATATTGTGATTTTGGTTTCTTCTCATCATTGGACTTCTGTCTTGAAGACAGTAAAAGAAACACAGTTGCCCTTACTAGGCTAGACTCTTTAGGCTATGGACCCCTCCAATGCCCACGCAGCCAGGAGAGGAGAAAAAAAAAACGCGCCAACGTAATTCCTTGCCCACAAAATGGATGTGTAATTTCTTCCACTGTGTTCTGTGTATTCTTTGCGCGGCTTGGTGCATCACTCAGGATTGATCACCTCGCATTTACGTCCTCAAGCATAAAATTGAATAAATTGCAGCACATGTGTTTTGGCATGCCAAGTGAACACCCCCCTGTGGCTGCACCATGGCCTTTGTTTGGACTGCGCTCTTCCTTGTTTTCGTCATCAAGTCCAAACTGGGCTTCAAGGCATTTGAGCTGTGCCAGTCTGGTCCCTCTTTGTGTTTGAAGCACATGTGCATGCACTTCCTTGTGAGCAGAGTTCCATCAACCTAAATCCAGACCAAAACATCTCAACTAGAAGATTGCCCACTAAAGCATGCTTCCCACCGTGCCCACAGCCCACCACCTGCGGAGGCGTGAAGGTGAACACATTGCCACCCCTCAGAAGCTTCACTTTTGGGAAAAGGACTCAGACCCGTGCCACGGAGGAAAGGACTTGGAACTTGAGCGGCCCATTTGGGCCCAAAATCATCACTCAAATCATCGCTAAAGTGAGAAGATCACCAAGTTGGATCGACCCGTTGGAGCGTGTTTTCGGTTGAGTTCCACACACCACCGGCGGAGGGCGCACTCTTAAGGAAGCAGACTGGCGCGACTCCGATCGCAAAGGCTCCACTGGTGTGGGGATCAAACGTCCTTGTTGCTAGTAGCGATGCACCTTGTTACTAGTAGCTTCTGGTTAACTAGTTCTTGAAAAAAACAGCACCACATCTGACTCATCTGACACGAGCTTTTGCCTCTAGTTGCATGTGTTTTTTGTTGCACGAGATTCTAGTTTCAGCACGTGCTTCTGTTTATGACTTCTGTCCATTTCTTTCCAAGTAAATGCATGTGGTATCCAATGAACATGGTAGTTGAGATCCTCACATGACCGGACCAGCCCACCTCGCGCACTCGAGAGGTGTCCTTCTGCTGCCCAAACTCTGTCTGCGGAGGCTGTGGCAATGACACGTCGAAAGCGTGCTTTTGACCCATGCCCATATATGGCTATACTGTTCAGCCGGTATGCGAATATTCCGAGAAGCACATGAGGCTTAGCGGTCTTACTTTGCTGGGCCGCCTTGCCCAAAACCCAATGGTAAAAAATGTAAAAAGTGTCTGTAGATCTGTAGAACGCTCATTTGGGGGGGCGACAAACCCTTCTCCTGTGCACCAATTCACCTCACACCTTCACACCTACATCTTGGAAATCCGAAAACCTGCTCGGTCAGTCGATTGATGAAACAGATCTCTCTCATGTTCTGTGTTGGCCCGTTGGCTTGTAAAAAGCTCAGGCCGTCCAAAAATCAACTCGAGCTCAACTATCAGGTGGCCCCATGCTCATCAAAAGCTTAGATGGTGTGCATGTACACGCCTCTGGTATTCACCATGCTGGCTGCTGGCTAGCAAAACTGCTCGGAACACTGTGAGAATGACAGTCTTTCAGTAACCATCCAAACCAACTCTCCAAGGCGATCCGAGAAACACCCTCTGTGGTCCCGGCTCCAAGATCCGTATCGCCACTGGCCTCTAAAGTGGGATTCATGCCAACTCATATATATATATATACATGGGTCCCGTACATGTATACTCGATTCATGCCCAACTCATACATGCCAACACTCATGATTCATGCCCATCATTATCATATATATATATATACACATGAGTGTGTGATTTATGCTAGAGTGACCGTGCAAAACCAAACCCTCGCCTGTCGGGGTGACCCAGGCAGGAACATGCCGTTTCCGCCGGCATCCAAACGTTTCGGTCGGGAGAGGATCCGATGACTCAGTCGGGCTTCTCCGGATGTTCTCGGCTTCGGCTGCTCGAATTCTGTGGAAAGGGTGAGCTTGGAGGTATGATGTTTGTTCTTGGAAAGTGGGTCGAGAACGTCGTTCGTTTTTGAGGCAACCTTGGCCCTGGCGTTTTGCACCTTGAAGAACCCCCTGTTTTGACCTGGATTCTGGATGACTCTTGGTGACAGACATGTGTAAACTCACTGATCACACAAGTGTGAGTTGGAGCCAGCAGCCGTAAAGAGACACCAACTGCGTCAGGATCTGTCTACAAAACGCATCCCGCACTTGGCTGGCAGTTCGACTGATGCTCCACTTATCTCCTGGATTCATGACTTATCAGTGACAGAAAGATCGGTTACTTTGTACTTCCTGTATATTATAATACGATCATCTAATGATATAATATATATATGGTAATGTTATATATCTGATTATATATCCTATTAGAATCTATTAGACGTATACTAATAAAAAGAAATATGATTTAGCAATGATTTAGCTATAAATTATCCAAAATGGGCTGTATGTTAAAATGTGTTAGCATCGTCTCTTGCTTTAGGTATCCAACAGCTCCTTAAAGTCAAGTTGTTCTTGGATTGTTCTCTCTCCTCTTCTTCTATGAATCGCTGTGTTGCCACCGATTTCTCTGAGTCCACTTGGTATCCTTCTCTGCCCCGGATCCCTCAGTCTTTGCTTCGGCGACTTCAAGACCCACCGAGTCAGCTGTTTTGGTTCGCGGCTTCTCTCGCTTCACGACGGTCGCAAGCAATGGAAGCAGGTGTTCACTGTTCACGATTCTGTTCTCTTTTTGACCACTGATTCTGTGAAAGACCTTTCGCTTCTGAATGTGAAGAGACAACCAGAAAACAATTGAGTTCAGTCAGCATCTTTGTAATATCACTCCCGATTGCATGACAGGTGACCCGAGTGGTTGCAGGCCACATGTTGGACCTTCACCAATCATTGAAGGCCATACCGACTACAATGGCCATTGCATTCCACGGTTGCCAGTCCAGCAGCCGTTGCATAGGCGCTAGCTGAATTACATGTCTGCTCGCTGCTGTCGATTCTAAGGGTTCTAGTAAACTATGCTCCAGTGCTTGCTGGTGTGGATGGTTTTGACCTCCCAATGCTGCTGCTGAGAACCACACCAAATGACGAAATACCATCAATGCTTCTATGCTGAGACTCGTTGCAGAAGCTCCAAGCTCGTGCAGAAGCTCCCAGCACCAAGAGAAAGCCCAGCAGAACGGCCCTGTGACACCAAACGGTGCGGTTGCTGTTGTGAGAAAAAAAGAAATCGAAGTCCCTTGGTCCAAGACATGTCACCCAAACATCACTGGAAAGCACAACATACAGCGCCACAGAAAGGTCGACCCTGAAGCTGGCTAGAAACCCAAAGAAGCACAAAGACTGCGACGGTCGAGTAAAGGATACAGTAGTTGGGCATGGAACTGGGCACTGAATGGTTCGTGCTGCCTCTTCTCTGGACTCAGAAACTGTGTTGAAATCCCAATGCGAGCAGTGAGCAGTGTGCCAATCCGTGCAAGCCCAACGTTGCGGGACCAGTACAGGACGGATTAAAAGTTGTGAGGATCCAAAGTCGAATCATCGATACAACTCAAGTGGTTGAAGATGTTGAAAGTTACGAAACCCTTCGGCCTAGCAATTTATAGAGCAGTCCAAATAGAGATTTGGATCCTTGCACCAGTGCCGTTTGGCACGGCATGCGGATGCATGCGGCATTGAATTGGCCAAGATCAACGGTCGAAGAAAATGACTTCGTCAGACCAAGCAAACTCTAGCAGCTTGCAGGCTGAACCGCTTCTTGCATTTGGGTGTGTATTTTAGTAGGGAGACCCCCAGCCAATGGGTAGACTGGTCTATACTTCTTCCTGGAGGTCTTTGAAAATCTCCCTATTTCAATACACACCCATTTCCTGAAAGACCCACAAAAAAACCAACGTCTGTCTTTAGTAGAACACGTCTTTAGGTGAAGAACCGACGCGAATTCCGAATGAGCCGTCCTCCAGCCATGAAAAGCGGATATCCTGATAGCCTGAGATACTTACAGAAAGGACGTCGTCCACCAATCTTTGATTTTGCAAAGAGGATTAACAAGGATAGGCATGGATAGGCCTGGTACAACACCAGTCACGTCTCTCGTGATGTTTGGCCTAGTTTTCAGGGCCTATGTTTGGTCTCCATTTATCATCATCAATCATCCACATGATGTCACACTGATATTCAACTCGGATGAAATCAGTGGCATTCCTCGGGACCGTCCCTCCTCGTCCCTCCTCCCTTCATCCCTTCGGACGACCGTCGGACGACCAGTGGGACGCGCTGCCTAGGCCTCCTCAGTGAGACGCGCCTTCGGACGAGCCGCGCCCGAAGGTCGTCGTCGGGTGGATGGGGCGGCGCCAAAAAGGAACACATCAAGCGCTTTCCAGCGCAGCCACTCTGAGGAAGAACGGCACTGGGATTCCATGCCAAGAATGGCTGCAGTTTCTTTTTGCAAGTTGCTTCAAGGCCATAAGGCTTTCTCATGGACATCCTTGTGTCATGCGGATCCCTCTTAGAGGGCACTACCAGTGCCATCATTGCCATCGGAATCCCGTTGCCAATCATTCTTTCGTCCGTTCCTGAGTTCCGTAATTTCCAACGGCGACCACCTCCGCGTGCCCCGCGGAATTCCAGCCGGCCTCCACCTCTCTCCAACCGTCTTCGCCGCTGTTGGGCGCAAACCTTTCTCAGACACCGGCGCAGGTCAGAAAGTACTCTTATAATCAACTTTCCATGAAGTACAAGCACCGCACTTTGGTATTGTACTAGAATCACTAGAAGAGTCTTGTACCATCACCTGTCACCAGGCCGGAGCATGCCGGAGCTAGGAGACTGCAGAGCCACGGTGTGGAGCATTGTGGAACACAGCTCTTCAACAGGGTCCCAGTGGCTCTAGTGGCTAAAAAGGAAGAGGTTTTGCTGGGTGGTTGTGCTTTCCATTGTGTTCATCGCCTCTTCCAAGAAGTGTTGTTCTGTCATCTGATGTCATCTGTCCTTGGGCTCCCCAGCGGCAAGAGCAAGGAACGAGGCTCCACAGCCGGCACCTTTACCAGGCAGACTTCACCAAAGACTGAACTCCTGCGGATGATACATGATGATAGAGGTATAGAGGTGCGTCAGTACAGGTCTGCTTTTTCAGGGCGGGACCAAAGGCCCATCAAAGGCCCCTTCTGGTTGGTGGGGACCCCAAAAAGGCCCACAGGCCATCCATACTGGCGCAAAGGCCGAGCTGACTCTTTTGCGACGTTTCTTCAGCTGAGCGCGAAACCGCCCATCGCCGGAGGATCAATTTTCCAAGACCTGACTCAGAGCACCGTTCTCACTCAGAGCACGTTAGAGGTTGTGGAGTGAAACCAGAGCATGGACCATGGTGGCGGTGCACTGTCTACCTGGTGCCACCGCGGTATGATCATGATGATGATGATGATGATGATGATGATGATGATGAAGACATGCATGTTGTGCACTGTCTACCTGCCAAACCTGCTATGTCTGCTACATGCTCACTTGTGCAGGCAGAAAACCCTTCGGCCTACCATGCACAAATGAGTGATGTCATCGCCAGTTCTAGAATAGTATAAGGCAATCGATGTGATCATACTAGTTTTCAGTGCTAATGCCAGAGAAAATTGAGAAAACGAAGGTGCAAAGCCACAACCTGCTGACCAGGAACTTTGAAATACAAGCTATAAGGCAAGCTACAATCTCAAAAGATGTTAATCCATCCTCAAGAGCCATCTCATGAGCCTGCAAGAGCAGCGAAGCAACCCACGCCGGCCAGGAAAGAGACCACCAGCTCCTGAGTCTTAGAAGCTGAGAAGAACGGATCAACTCCTCAGTTCATGTCGAGTCTAGTCTGTTGGGCTTTGATGAAGATTGGTGATGTCCCTGTCCCATCGGCCGACTGCTTGGATTGGACATCCCGAGTCAAGACATCAAAAAAGGAGAGATGAAATGATATGAAATGCAACGGACATGGTCAGTCAACGGTCACCGCGGTGACTTCCCTTGTCGCCCTGGGGTGTCTGAAATGTCGCCGGATGTCTCTGCATGTCATGTCTGACGCGCAGCCTGTCATGCGAGACGTACTGGGATTCCGGGCATGTCGAGAGCCAGACGCACGTTCTAAGCGTCCTGCAGAGTAAACGTTCGTCGCGTCGCTGCCGTTGGATCTCGTGAGCTCCGCCGACGGGACTCGTTCTGCCAAGCGACTCAGCAGCTGAAACTGCTCGATGGCCATGGCAGTATCGACAGATGCCTCATGGTCAAAAGGATCTTCTCAAATACGACAAACAGGACACTCAAAGCAAACCATGTCAAGCTTAGCTTCTGAAACAAGATGATGTTTTTGGCCTGGCCCGCTACATGCGATTCTATGGTATTCTACGTATCTAAAGCATCTATACCCGCATCATCATCCTAAGTGGGATCGAGATCTGTCCCCGCATCAGAAAACTGTCCCTCCGAGCACCGTACTACGTCAGGGCCTGGCGATTTGAGATGGAAGCAGGTCGCATTATACTATACTACAAGAGCAAGTAGGAGCAGCGGTCGCAAGGCTCAGTTCCACTTGAAATGCTTCATCTCAAGAAGGGAAAAGATTGGATCAAAGATAGGCTAAACCCGCTCAACCACGATCATGCACTTGCAATCTGGATCAAATCCTTCACTGGTAAACCCACCGGACGGACGGCCCAGGCAGAAGGCCCGGTCACCTTGAACCGGTCCAAACCCCCGGTCCATCTGGACGAAAATGGCTCCGGGCAGTGTAAGTAAAGGGAGGCTACACCTCACTAAGGCTATAGCCATGCTATATTACCTCCCTGAGGCTACACCTGGTCTATAATAGCCATGGCTACCAGGTGGCTCGAAAACAAAACCTGACTTCTGGGGAGTTCATGCCAGAATCCCGAAGAGTTCTCGCCATCATCCCACACCT